AGGATTGCACACAGCATGAACAGAAAGAACTCAAAGGCTCTACCTAGAGAAAATTTAGTTTAAAACCATGAAAACTAATTTCATTTACCTATTAGTTGAAAAACTTATGTTTATTTTTACTTTCAGGAACTATTTTTTTTGAATGAACATTGAATCAAAGTTAACTGATAATGATCCTTTTGATAAAATTATATGCTATATATAGCATCTAGCATATCACAGTATGGTATCTTTCATATCTGGCTTTCACAGTTTTACCATAAAATGGCAATTTCTACAAAAATATTTGAGGGTGCTGTCAATTTTCCTATGGCCCTTCATTCTCCTTCACTACATAAACTATTACCTCCTGAAGCACCTATGCCAGCATTCTGATCAGTATTTCTCTTCATTTAACAAGATACTTATGGTCAAGGGCTTCCATATAATATTTAGAAAATTCTCCAAAATTACTTTTTCAAAATTTTATTTTAGGGAAGGGTCTACAGGGTGTTCAGGGTCTCACTACTAGATTGGACTCATAGTAAGTTTCCTGTTTACAGCCTCCCAAGAGCTGGGATTATAGGCACGCGCCACCGCGTCCTCTCAATTGTTATCTCAGCATGCCTTGGGGGCGGGGCTGGCATGGCAGGCCGGGGGATCAAACCCCTGGCCCCTGTGCCTGCTTGTAGGCGCTTTAATCCGTTGAGCTATTTGGCCGACCCCAAAATTACTTTCATCAACTTAATAAAATCACTTTGCAACCAAGTTGTTAACTTGACAGAAAGACAACTGAAACTGGGATGAGGAAAAGGACAAAAGGGAAAAAGATATATTTATGTATCTATGCAGGACAGTTTGGATAACTGTACTGCTGATTTCAGCTGGTCTACTGAAAGAGGCAGTTAATGCTTAAATTAAAAAAAATTATTATATTTTTATTGCTTATAAAGTTTTTTTAAAAACCAATTTTGCAGATTTATATTTGGTAATCTACACAATTAATTTGAAGATACACTATACAACAATTGTTGAATTCCTATTACTTTAATGAAATTTTGTATTGTTTCTAATGTTTTTAACTTTTTTTTTGAGACAGGGTCTCACTATGCAGTTTGGGGTGGCCCTGTGCTTACTTTTGTAGCCCCCTGGCTGGTCTCAAACTCATAATGATCCTCCTGTCTCAACCTCCAGAGTGCTGGGATTATAGGCATGCATCACTACACCTGGGTCAGGGGCACCTGGGGTTCCGGAGCCAGAGATCAAGCTTGAGTCCTTGTGCTTGCCAGGCAGATGCTTACGCCTCTGAGCTATCTCCCCAGCCCCACCATTTTGTATTCTTAAAAACAAACAAAAAAACCCCTTCCTTTTTGAAAAAACAACAACATCAACAAAACAACTGATTTGTCAAAACTGTTGCAATAGATGCTGGGATCATATGCAATATATTAATTGATGCTAGGATAAAGTGGAGAGGACGTCTGAATGGCCAGTTTATCAAAAAGGGTTCCCTTTCTGTAACAGCTTCTGGTTCCATTATGAATCTCATAACTGTAGAGAACTAAATAACAGATAACGTAAACACCAGAAAACTAGTTTGAGGCACACTCTATTCATATGGACAAAGTAGATAAAGGGTGCGCAGGTCAGTAATCAGTTGATATGAACCTACTGGCATCAACATTGTGGGCTACAAGAGACGTGAAGACAGTCCCTGCCTCAAGGAATTCAGCCTAATGGAAGGCAGGTAAATAAGGTGACAACTGTATAAATGAGGGCAATCAAAGGCTGTTGAGGACACAGATAATTCATTTTCTTATTCATCAAAGCAGTAAATGAACATGAACTTTACGTCAGCACTGCACTGGGGCTGATAGTGAACAAGTCTAGTAGGAGAGATGGTCAATAAAGCTAAGCAGCCGGACACCTAATTTCAACTTGTAGTGTCTTGAGGAAACTGAATACAAGCAATGAGAGAATGAAGTCGGGGGCCGAACCTAGGTACAGGGAGGTTGGGCAAAACTTTGGGGATACAACATTTAATCTGAGACCAAAAGTTGTTAAGGAGTCTGATTGGAGGAAAGAGTGTTCCGGTGAGAAAGAACAATGCACACAAAGGCCTGATGACAAGAGCTGCGGAGGATCTGCATGGATGGCAGTGGGCTGGGATGAAGTGGGGAGAGTCAGGGTGCTTTGAGAGGGTGCTGAGAAGAGAAGTACAGAAAGGACGTGGGCTGTCAGCCTCTTCAGAAAGTGGCCAGAGAAAAAGAGCAGTGGTCAATCGCTGAAGGGCATTAGCAGGAAGACAACAGGGTCTGATTTATGTTCACAAAGACTCCATCCTGTGAGACATGATATGGGTGAGGGCTGGTTATAGGGAAAGCAGGGAAAAGAGCTAAAAGGATCCAAGAAAAGACAGTGAAAGGTGGCTGAGAACATACACTGGCAGTCATGATGGAGAACTGAAAAGGTTCTGGAAAATGTGGCATGTTCACATTCCTTCAAGAAAGACAGCCATGGTCATGTCTATCACCCAATACAGAGTTTGCAAACAAAAGCATTCGTGAACTGCGGTACCACTGTGTATGTAGACAACAGACATATCAAGACCCCGAGGCAACCTCCAGATTTGAGTTTGAACAACATGGGTATATGGCAACACGGTTACTTATGTGAATGAAACAGGTGGTCAGGAAAGTCCCCCTTCAGGTGATATCAGAAGTGGACTCTGAAGGCTGAACAGTTTTCTAGGCAAATGGTAGCAGAAAGGGTAAGAGCTTTTAAGACTGTGTGGCATGCTAGAGGTCCAGTTTGGTATTAGAGGACAGACTGGTGGGAAGGGATGAAATAAGTATGGCTGCAGCTGGGGCTGGGCAGACTCCGGGGCATAGTGCCTGCCTGGCAAGCCCAAGGTTCCGTTTTTTTTTTTCTTTTTCTTTTTTTCTTCTTCTGTATTTTAGGGAAGGGTGTTCAGGGTCTTACTACTAGATCAGACTTGTAGTGATTCTCCTGTTTACAGCCTTCCAAGTGCTAAGATTACAGGCGTGCGCCACCACAGCAGGCTGGGAGATCCAACCCCTGGCCCCTACGCAGGTGCTTTAATCTGCTATTTGGCTGGCCTAAGGTTCTGAGTTTGATCCCTGGTACAAAAACCAAACCAAACCAAACCAGACCAAAGAAAAAGTATGGTTGCATCTGGCACATTCATAGCCTTGAAGCCTAGACCAGGAAAAATGGGCAGTCCTTGACTCAGAATGGGCTCACAGATATGTCTTGCATGATTGTCCCTGTATTTCAATCAATCTGCGATGAGCTAACAGTGTTTGGCTTTTCTTATGCCCTATTATATGGCAACCCTGGTCATGAGCTTTTTGCCCAGCAACACTTGGCTAGAGTCTCCTGAATGCCTGCCCAGTGCAGGGCCTGCTGGTCAGTGGTCTTAGCCCTGGCCTGGCCTGGCCTAGCCTCAAGACCAGCACTAGGCTGCATGATGGTGCCTAAGGTGGTGGAAGGCGGGTTCACATCTCAGATCAATATGAAGTAAGCAAACAAGAGGAAGCCAAACTGGCCAATTACAAAACTTCACAGATAGCTGTAATCATCCCAGCAGAAAGGAAGGGGTATATACCCTTGGGTTGTTTCTTTTTTCATGTTCCAGAAAAAGGGATATTATACATTGCTGTGTACCCTAGAACAAACTCTGATGGAAGCACAATGGGGTCTATATTTCACATTGTGATTCTTTATGATGGGGGTTTTGCTGTACCATCAAATATCTGTAAGGAGTAACTGAAACTTGGGATTAGTGGAAATGCACATACATTACTAACAGGAATTGCCCTGCGAGTTTGAGCTAATGAGAGAGATCCTACAGTTGTATGTATAGCTATATGCAGGAGGACACTGATAACTAGATCTGAAAGACTGACAAGTGATGGTTAGCAAAAGGTCCAACAATCCTGAACATCCCACTCTGGATTCACAATGCCAGCACAGAAGGAGTGTTTGGAGGACGATGAGCAGATATATCTCAGATGAGTAATTGGATAGGAGCATGACGTCCAGTGTTAAAAACAGAAGAAAGCAAAGCAAACTGAAGACGTTAAATCTGTACAAATATAGTGTCTACATCTAGGACAACAGTAATGGCTTGTTTTGTTTCCCTCCATTTGTCCGTGAGGACTCTTGTCAGATTTTATACCATACACAGTTTCTATGTTGTCTTAGATAAGACTGTGATGACAGACTATTTTTCCTGATTACTTCTGGTACGCTGTTAAGAGCCTAAGATAGCGCTGTGCATCCATCAGGTGCTCTGTTTTGATAGTACTATTTGAAAACACAATTAAATGGCAGCTGAATAGTGGGGTGGCCACTACAGGGACCTCAGCAGGGAAAGTGAATTGGGGTGGTGAGGCAGGGGCATGTTCCCAACTCCTTCTGATTTGGGTAGGGTTAACCAAAACTCATCTATCTGGCTCACACTGCTGCAGCTCGCCCTGCTGTGGACAAGGCTCTTCCTCAGGCAGATTACCATCATGCTCAGTTTTTATCATCAGGCACTTATTAGGTATCTCCTGCAAGGCACTGTGTTGGCTTATCTGTTTCACTTAAATCTCAAACTTTATATGCTGTAAAGTTCCCTCTTCAGTGCTTAAAAGGCGACTATAAATGAATTGTGCTTAACTCTCCCTTTCTACCACTAATTCTTTTATATCTTTACTAGAAGATAAAGCCCCAAATTACACACAATGCTCGACTGGGACTTTATCAGGCCTGTTAGCATTTACTTTAAGACTCTAAAAAGTGTAAAAATGCCCTCAGTGCCCATTATCACTTTCTCCATCAGTGGACTTTGGTTCTAATTGAAAAGGAAAAGGCTGGCCTACACAAATGGAAATAAACGTGTCTCTGGAGCGTAGAAGTGAGTAACATGAAATGACAGGGACATTGACAGTTTAGTTGGAGCTTTAATTTGGTTTGGGCCTTGGAAAAACACATAGTAAATTAAAGAGACTTACTCGTTCTTGTCCAGCTGTATCCCAGATTAGGAATTTATGTAGCTCATTTTGGTACTGGACAGTCTTGGTCATAAAAGATGCCCTATAAAGAAAGACCTAAATGGTCAGAACACAATTATTTAAAGCACGTTTCCAGCCCCAGTTGGAAACATCAGTTAGACTAATCTCAAACTCCCAGCTCCACACCATATCCTGATTGTGTTCTTCTCTGGAGTACTTAGATCCTGAAATGCTAGCTGTATATTCTGACAAAATAAAAGAGTGTTAAGCAGATCTGCCCAGCAGAGAGGGGAAGACTTCTTGGGCTTCTGATTGTTTAGGTTCCACATCTAAAGAACTAAAACGGAGTTTGGTAATTCAGACATTAGCCTCCCTTAATAATCACAAGATGATAAGCCTCGCTTTTTATTTTAAAAGACGTTATAAGAAAACTTTCTAAAAATCAATGTGTCTAGGAAATGTGAGCAATGGTAAAAATAAAATAAAACAAAACAAAACAAAAACCCAACTAGGCCATTTGTTTGTCCTTCCCAATTCTCAAACAACATGCCCACTTAGATGGCTGAGTAGGAAGTAGTGTATCACTGAAGTTAATAAAGTTAAGATGCCTAACAATGAGTAGAACACCTGTAGAAACAACAGCTGCATCACGGTGACCTGAAGCATCCTCAGCACCTGGGGGCTGCATGTAGTTTTATGACCTGCTGCATCCTCAGCACGCATCAACATAACAGGCTCTGTCCCCTCCCCAACTGTCTTTCTTGGGGTAGGGGGTGGGAGTGGGTTGTGGTACTGGGAATCCCAGGGCCTTCACGTGAGCTAAACCTGAATCTGCTTTTAAATTTTGGGAAGGGTCTCATTAAATTGCTGAGGCTGGGGTTGAATTTATGATGTCTGTCTCAGCCTTCCAGAATATTAGGATTATTCCATGCATATTGTACGTGGCTTAAAACAGGTTTCTCAGCTGAGGTTCAACCCCTGACATCAGGGTCTCACCCAGCCCTTGATAGAGGAAAGGAACCATGATTTACAGGTCACACAGCTCACTGGAGGCAGAGGTTCCTAGTACTTTTGGGATCCCCTACTTTTGGAGGCTCTTCAGTAAGCCCTAAAAGCTGTGTATTTTCTGTGGAGTCAGTGGCCCAGAGCAGGTACCTGGATATTCTAGGGTTTTCTAATGCAGCTTTATGAGGGTTACTCTGTTACTAGGCCTTGTTCCCACACTGCCTCTCACTCCCCATCTCACCTGAAAGCATCTCCTGGGAAATTCTTGCTCTCCCCTCTCCATACAGCATCCTGCTCCAGTCTAATTCCAGACCCAAAAGGTCTTTTTAAAAATCTTTTCTGGTATAACAAACTTTTCTGGATCAAAGTCTCAGTCATATTCTTGAACCATACCCCAATCAATTCAATCAAGACAGTGAAGCCAATGGGTAGGGCCTTTTAATACATGTTGAGAGTTTGAAATTTTTTGTTGCGATTCAAATAAGAAATAGTCTTCAACAGAGTTCAAGTATACTAGAATGACTTCTCAAAGAATCACCAAGCTTAGAACAACCAGAATTCTTAGTTTTAAAAACTTCGACTCTGAAATAATGAATTCCTGGCAATGTTTACATAAACTATGGCATAGCAACTAGCTTTCATGTGATGAGAGAAGTGAATTAGGAGGCAAGGTCACATTTACTGGATAGGTGTTTTTTATTAGATATTTATCTACTGAGTACGTTCCCCTTAGTGTACTTAGTGAAGTGACTTGTACATAGAAGATACTCAATAAATAGTAGGGCTGGGGAGATAGCTTAGTGGCATAAGTGCCTGCCTGGCAAGCACAAAGTTGAAAAAAAAAAGTTCAAAAAAAAAAAAAAGACTTCAATAAATGCTGACTGTATCAAGAAACTTTCAAATAAAAATCTTAAAACTCAGAGAAAAAACAAAAGGAAACCTTTGGTGACTCCCTATGATTATACCAGACTGTGCAAATGTTTTCTCTCAAGAGGAAAGGTCTAAGTATTCAAAAATCATTGCTTATTAAAGAGATTAAATAAAATGTGTGTGAAAGTGCTCTGTGAATTATAAAGCTCCAAATCTATACAAGGTATTATTAAGGGCACTTCCAGGAAAGTTTGGGTTTTGCAATTAGTGCCAAAGCATAACTGCAACTCAATCCTCCATCAATTATGGCTGCGGAGTTACACTGGGACAGCAACAGGCACCCAACAGAAACCCTTTCACAGAGCCCATGCATTCAACACACTTTGCCTGTTTGCTCAAAGGATCAGCGAAGTATGTTTCAAGTACACCAAAACCTGACAAAGACACAATAATTAATTAAAAGTAAATGTTTCATTACAGAACTAGAATTCACTGAAGTTCAACCTATGCACCAATCATTTTCCTCTAATAAAGTAAACTTTCATTGCTGAGCTATGAGACAGACAAAACAACAGATAATCAAAGTGACTGAAAGGATTAGTCCATTTTTGACACTGGACTACTCTTCCAGCACATCTGCCTTGGTACTCATAGTGACACCTTCTGGTTCACTTTCTTGAGTCCAAGGCTCTCCTCTTGGGTTTCTGTATCTGTTAGCTTCTTGTCCTTTTGTCATTGGTACCACTTGCCCACACTACTACACACTACAGCAATACTCGCCTCAGCTACCAGAAAAGCCCAAATGGCTTCTCCACGTGCCATTTACTCTGACTCTGTGGAATGTCTGTCCTGCTGGAGGAAAATCACAATACTGGTATACAAGAAAGATTCTACCCTGTGTCATCTGGGCTTCCTCTTAAGCCTTTTCCCATTCCACGCAAAAGTTAAGCCACATTCGTATGCCTGGGTTCCAGCTCCCTGGCACTTCCTATTACCCTCTTTCCTCAGGGTACCAGCTTGTCCCAACATTCTCTGTAGAAAAAAAAAAAAAAAAAAAAAATGATGGTTAAGTCTTCGGTTCCCAACAAGCTTTCCAGTTGACACTTTCAACTTGAGAAGGGGTAGTGTCATAGTTTTGGGGTTTTGCAAGGGGAACAATATAGAACATATATTTTATAAGATTATTAACAATGGTCACCCAAAGAACCATATACAAAAAGAATACAGAAAATCAGTCCACATACTACAGACCAAAGAATCCAGCTGAGGGACTGTATCTCATGTGTGAGTCCAACTGAAGCTTTAGAAGATATAGAATTTGCTATTAAAATTAACAAGTAACATTTAAAAAAAAAAAAAAAAAAGAAGATCTAGAGCCCATAACAATGCCTCCCCAAAAAACAAAACAAACAAACAAACAAACAAAAAAACCCAATGCCTCCCATGAGTCCAGCTGGAGGCCTAGAGCCCACAACAATGTCTCAGACAGGCCTGTTTCACAGATCTGCGCTGGGAAGGCCCGAAGGTCAGTGGGGGAAGCTAGAAAGTCTGTGCCAGTGGGACGAAGGATCTGTGCCAGCAGGCTGAGGCATCTGCGCTAGAGCCAGGAAGCCACGTTCAAGAAACAGAACTACCCAGAAAAGCACCACAATCATCCTCAGCAACAGTGAGGTCCCAAGCTCCTCCAAGGACGAGAACAGTTGAGTTCCCAGCCAGAAAGCCAACGCAACAAGCTTCTCCAGGAGTACACCATCTTCCCCTGGGAGCATCGCTCAACGTGAGGACCAGAGCTCCCCCAAAGTGAACTGCAGCCATTCTCAGCAACGAAGAGGTCCTGAGCTCCTCCTCTGATAACAACAGCTGAGTTTATCAGGAAAGCCAGCATGACAAGGTTCTCCACAGGGACGAGCAGCTCCAGATGGTATCCAACAGCTTCCCAAATAGCCTCATCTAGCTCCCAATATCCTCCACCTCTTATGCTGCAGACAACAATCTTCAGCAGGCCTCCCACACCCAGCACCATATTAATTCAATTTAGCTGGGTGTTACAAGTTGACCACCAGTCATCAATTCACCACAGGTGGATTTCCATCAACTCCAGAATGATTTCTAAGTTTCTGATTTTGGCTGAATAAGAGATGTCTTATCCTCTGCTCATGCATCACTGACATTCTGGTTCAAGATCCCAGTACAACTAACTGGCTTGGGTCACTGTAGTTATCAAATTGTTCTCTTCATCCCAATCTGAAATCCTTCCAACAGCCCCTACTTTCACCCCTACATCTCCCCTGGCTAGATGCTCCTTATTTTTTGGACCTCAGTTGAAATGACAAAAATCACAGAAGCCTGGGACACCCTCCCCAATCAGGTTGCTTCCTATCCAATTCTATTTCCTCATAGTTTCCTAATACAATGGTTTATTAGTTCATTAAAAAAAAATTACCTTTTCAATATTTAACTCACCCATGAGAACTCTAAGATTCATAAGGGGTAGGGAATCTGCTGTAGTGTTTCCTCTATAAGAGGGCTATCTTCCTCTCTCTCTTCTTCACTATTCAGAACTATAATCCACATTTTTATGGTGACCATAAACTACTTATTGCAACAACTCCTGAAGCACTGAGTACCACCAATCAAGTGTAGGTAAAGAGTCAAGATACAGACTTTGGTTCTTTAATTGTAATCTGGGGTGTGGTGTTTTCAGTGTGAGGGAAGTGGTGCAAGGAGGTAGGGCAGGGTGGACTGTGCTCAGGAGCCACTTGCCCTCTCCTCTTTAGCTACCAGCTTCAATCCCTACCCTAGCCAACAGGCCACAAGTGAAGTCTAGCTACTATGTTCTTCCATCACTTAGATCTCTGGAATCTTAAGAAATCGCTGTCCTTTAGGGGAGGACCACTGCTGCTCACTTCCACGCTGGATCAGGAGCTGCTTCCTGAGTCTGAGCCAGGCTGGCTTGAGTAGATAAGCACCTCTCTCACTTCACCTTCTCTGGGTCCCACAATGTCTGTTCAAAGCAACAAACATCTCTGTTCATTTTTAAGAGATGAAATCTTAAGCTATCAAGACTGGGCATGGTGGTGCGTGCCTGTAATCCCAGCACTTGGGAGGCTGTAAAACAGGAGGATCACTACAAGTCCAATCTACACAGTGAGACCCTGTACACCCTGTCCTAAAAAAAAAGACTTTTTAAGCTATCACACCTATAAA